CCCCCCCCCCCCCCCCCCCCCTTTTTCTTTTTTTTTTTTTTTTTTTTTTTTTAAGTTTCCGTTCTCTTCCAAATTGTGACCCTTTCAAGTCAATCTTTTATTTAACTCATTACAATCTGTTACTTTGAGTGGTGTGAGGATACTGTGTGGCAGTAGTAATCTGAATATGAAAAGTTATCACTGTATCAAATTTAATACAATGCATATTTTTTTGTATGCAAACAGATGCCTGGGGGAATAAGCAGGATCACAGGGGAGCATTCCTAATTGATCGCAGTCCAGAATACTTCGAACCAATTCTGAACTATTTGCGTCATGGGCAGCTCATTGTAAACGATGGCATTAATTTGCTAGGTGTGTATTATCTGTGTGACATCCCTAAAATTTATTCAACCTCAAAGGTTAAACTCTGCCCCTAGGTACATCTAATGGCGTCAATAAGAGTTGTATATGTATATCTGAGGGGTTGTAGATGTTTTAAAAACTTTGGTACATTTGTTATTGATTAAGTTTAATTCTGTGATTTACAGTTGAATGAAAATAAAATATTCGTACTTATTCAACTTGAGGGTTGTAAGGATTCTTGGCATGCCCTAACCTATTACTATAATTCTTGGTTTGATTCCTTAACCTGCATGTACTCCAGATCTTTTACACTGCTTGTATTGGAAAAACACCATTACTAAATTGATGGATGATTTTCCCTTTAATCTGTGGATAAAGTCTCCTTTCCCCTACCCCAATTACATCTAATTAATGTATATGGTTGACAGTTGTATTATGTATTTCTTGGAGATTGGTTTTTATCTTCCTGAGAGTTAAGATTAATTGGGGTGGGGGGAATTGAATTTATGCACTTGCAATCCTGGGGACAGACCTTGCACGTTTTGGGAGGTTTTAAACTTCCTCATATCCCAGCGAAGGAGGGGGCTTGGCATCATTCAGGAAAGGGCCCTTATTTTCTAAATAGCCAAGTAACTTTTTCTTTTATTAGGTGTTTTGGAAGAAGCCAGATTTTTTGGTATTGATTCATTGATTGAACATCTGGAAGTAGCTATTAAGGTAACTTTTGTATTGTATTTAACTGTACGTCTTGGGTTTTTTAAAAAGCAATTTTAGCTCTCACTTCTATAAATATTAGTTTTAAACTCTTTGATGCAACTCTCTTGCAGAATTCTCAGCCAGCTGAGGATCATTCTCCTATATCCCGGAAGGAATTTGTCCGATTTCTGCTGGCAACCCCAACTAAGTCTGAACTACGCTGTCAGGTATAATACAAACATTGCTTTGAACTAGAGTCCAATAGTAAAATGCCCTACATCTCATGTGACAATTAGTGATGTGAAGTCCAAGCCATGTGTGTGGATTTTTCCTTTTTTCCCTTTTAATTCCTTTTAAATGTGAGACAGGAGGTTTTGATTCAAAGATATGGCTGATCCAGAACCAATCATGCAGGAAAAAAAAGCCCTTCCATTTTGCTTTTTGTCTTTTATTATTTTAGGTTGAAGGTTTCATGTAGCAGCCATTCATCGAACTAATCAGTTCCCTATTTAAATGCAAAATGAACTAACATAACTGAGGACAATGTATGAGGTTTTGCATTTACATTTCATTAGCTCTCTATGGAGCAGAAGGTGTACTTGCGTATATTTTTCTTCGATTTAAGGGACTGAGAACACTGGTTAGCCTTTGTGTAATGTTGTAAGTTCCTTACATAAATTCACCTGTCTGAGAACATATTTAAGGTCTGAATTTAAGTACACCTCTACCCCGATATAACGTGACCCAATATAACATGAATTCGGATATAACGTGGTAAAGCAGTGCTCCGGGGGGGCGCGGGGCTGCGCACTCCAGCAGATCAAAGCAAGTTCGATATAACGTGGTTTCACCTATAACACGGTAAGATTTTTTTTTGGCTCCCGAGGACAGTGTTATATTGGGGTAGAGGTGAATAAGACAAAATGAAGGTAAGCGTCTAATGTTTTATTTTATATGCACAAGGAAAAAAAAAGATGTGTGCAGATGAAATAGAATTATAAAGTTTTTCAAGCAGATTGTAATAGTAAATGTCTAGGGCTTCAGTGTTTTATAAATAAACAAATTTTATTTGTAATGCTTCTTACATAAGCTAATGCTCCAATACCTCTCTGATGAAAATAATATTTATATCTTAGAAATGGGAAACTGAGTCAGAAAGATTGTGTCAGAGGTCACAGAGAGGGAGGGTGTTAGGGCTGCGATTAGAACTCTGAAGCTTCTGACTCAGTTTTGTGCTTAGACCACTGGACTAAACCTCATCTTCAACTTCTGTTTGTTTGTTTGTTTGTAGGGTCTAAATTTCAGTGGTGCAGATCTCTCTCGGTTAGATCTTCGATACATAAACTTCAAGATGGCTAACTTAAGCCGCTGCAACCTAGCCCATGCCAACCTTTGCTGTGCAAATCTTGAACGAGCTGACCTCTCTGGATCAGTGCTTGATGTGAGAATTGTGTCTTGGGAAAGGCTGAGCTGTTCAGTGTTACATAGTCTAGAAGAGCAATATTGGGAACAAATACAAAGTAGCCACATTTGTTTTAAAAACCTTTTTCAAGCTCTTGAATGTATAGATCACTTTACAACTCTTATTTAAAATGTTCGATTACACACAGACTTGATCTGACCGACTTTGCATAGTTTTTAGTGCCTGATAAGTTTATAGTTCATCCCAAAGTTTTAATTTCCCTCCCCAAATCAGTTTCTATGGAAGCATAGGCCTAAAGTAAATAGAGCTTTAGGTCTTGAGCTTGCATTGGGTCTCTTGAAGAGCTGCTGTGTGCTATTACACTACTCACCATTCTAGGAGGTTGGCAGGGGAACAGTGTTATAAGCTTTCACTCCTCCTCCTTAGATGGCACGATATGCTGTGCTATAATGGGTTTCAATGCCTTATTATAAGGCTATGTCTAAGCTACCACTTAAGTCGGTATAACTTATGCTGCTTAGGGGTGTGAATAAGCCACACTTTTGAGTGACAGAAGTTACACCAATCTAAGCACCAGCGTGGACAGTGTTATCTCAGCGGGAGAGCTGCTACCGCTGCTTGTTGGGGGTGGATTAATTAAGTCGATGGGAGAGCTCTCTCCCATCGGCTTGGAGCAGTTACACTAGAGAATTTACAGAACTTACTGCTGCAAGCTCTGTAGTGTAGCCATAGCCTAAGATAAAGGATATGATCTGACAAGCTGTTCTTACCTTTTGGTCTCTACAGTTCTCTGAGCTGTGTGTAGAATCTTACTGATAGCATGTACATTTTTCTTTACCAGTGTGCAAACCTACAAGGTGTAAAGATGCTCTGTTCCAATGCAGAAGGGGCATCACTGAAAGGATGTAATTTTGAAGATCCCTCTGGCCTTAAAGCTAACTTGGAAGGTAACAAAAATAGTCTCTCTCTCTCTCTCTGGTATCCACTTGCTTTGGGAGTCATACAGACATAAAAGTGCAAGCGATGCTGTGACTTAGGTTAAATGGTACATGGCAGAGTTTCAGACTTATCTTTGAGAGGAGGTTTTGTCTAGTGAATTGAGAGCATGGTACTGGAAGGCAGGAGCTCCTGAGTGCTAGTCTTGTTTCTGCCATGTCTTACTTTGAGTTTGGGCAAGTTCCAAAAGCCCATGATTACCCTAGCTTTGTGCAGGGGATTGGCTGTGTGAATTTCACCCTTGAGTATTTTTTGTTGTTGTTGTTGACCTATTGTTTGTGTATTTTAGGTGCTAACCTGAAAGGTGTTGACATGGAAGGAAGTCAGATGACGGGAATTAATCTAAGAGTTGCAACTTTGAAAAATGCAAAGCTGAAAAACTGTAACCTCCGAGGAGCAACTCTGGCAGGAACTGACTTAGAAGTGAGTAATGTTTTTTTGTTCCATACACAGTAACTTGTTTAACTAAGCTGCGAGTAGAATTATTAGACAGCATTGATAGAGGGCCTTAGCAAGGTTAATTCCTTTCAGCTGGGTTATCTATTAAAGGGAATACAAGGATACTTTAAACTGGGAGCAATGAAGAGGCACTGATTTTAAGTATAGCAGCTGTCAGTTTTCTTTTATTTGTCCTTTTATTGTCCCAAATGCCCCTATCTCACTCTGTCAGTACTTTTGATCTTACTTCACACTTGCCCCAGAGGCTGAGGAATAAAGACTTCAAACCGTAGTTTTTTCAGCTTGCCAAAAGATTTTTGGCCTTTCTTCCAAAGTGACACACAGATCTGAATGTGTATGGAGATTTCATTACACGTAACTTTTAGTGTTAGATCATGCACTCATCGAAGACAGTTGGAGCTTTGCTATTGACTTTACTGGGGAGAATCATGCCACATTCAGCAGGGTCGCATGGGGAAGCCTGCCTTGCTGTTAGAGGTCATGCAATATGCCTTAAGTGTCTATTGTAGAAAAATTACTTCTCTTAATTGGTATGTTCACAAGCACTATAAAACTGTTAAGATGGAGGAAATTGCTGATATGCCCAGCAGTTATGTCTGCTGGCACGGCAACCATTCTTATTTCCATCAGCTTTGTTCAATGTGGTTCAAATGCCTTAAAGGATGCTAGTTTGAGATGAGGTATTTATATTGTATCTTATCAAATTCCTTCACTAAAAATAAATTTGACTGTAGCTGCTTGTGGTAAGCAACCAAAGTCTCAATCTGAAATAGTTTACCAGGAGTAGCTAATTTAGGGTAATAACATAGCGTCCAACTAATTCTAGCTTGCTCTAACTACCATTCTGCAGAAGCTGGGAGTACTTTTGTATTAGCTTAAACTCTCATAAAAGGATTTCTTTGTACGCTTAACCTGAGAGGCTTTTCTTTTATATCCTTTAGAATTGTGACTTATCAGGTTGTGATCTACAGGAAGCTAACTTGAGAGGCTCTAACGTAAAAGGAGCTATCTTTGAAGAGATGCTGACGCCTTTACACATGTCTCAGAGTGTCAGATAGGACCTGGCACAGTTGACTGGAAGAATACTTGCTGAAGAGGAAGAAATGAAAACACTTATCGTGACTTTCTTTCTCTACCCACTCCCTTTATAATCTAGACATACCATTTATTAGACAATAACTTATATCCTCAGTAGTGCCTAAGGAAACACCTCTGGTCACTTTTGGGGGGAGGGGGCTTTTATTTAATAGGTGTAGGAATAGACATTGTTGCTACCTTTTGAATGGAGATAGGGAAGTGGGCTAGTTTTAGAACCAGAATGTTATGTATTTTTTTAAAATAGTCTTGTTTTAGCATCACCTCATTTTGGAATGCATTTTTAGGACTTTAATTTATAAAGCACAATATATGCAATTATATTTATTACATTTGTATCTGCAATATAAATATATGAAATGTTAGTCACATACAGTAGCAGAAATGTTCAGGTTTACAATTAGCATTAGTATATCTACAGTTAGTTTCTTTATTCATGCACAGCATATTAAATGATGAATGTGGTGGGGACAGAGTTCCCAAAACATTTTTTCCAGGTACTTTCTTTTGGGGGGAGTGACAGCATTTAAATAAGTCATCACAGGTAACACTGCCTGGTAGTAGCTTGAATTTAGGTATGCAGTGGCTCAACCAACTTCTGAAATATACAGTGGAAGCATCTTTGCAACTCTATCTTCACTAGAAAATCTTCATGCACAGCAGAGCTTTGTTATAATCAGAACTTAAAGGAGCATGTTCCAAGACGCATACTACTTATTTAGTCCTTTCAATGTCAGTGTGGAGTGCTGACAAGTGAAAAATCTATCTAGCTTATACGTGTCCCTTCTAGCCCCAAGCCTAAGTGCATGTGGGTTTTTTTTGTTTGTTTGTTTTTAAAACAGGAAATTAAGTGTGGATTGTGAAGGGGAAGACCGTTTATTCCTCCAGCAAAGTAGACACAGTGCCTGATGCCCAGCCTCTCTCTCCATGGTCACTACTGCTGTGTATGGAATGGCCAGTGTTGCCCCTGAACATATGCTATGCAAGCATTCTGTACACTGAAACCATGGATAGCACGGACCTTCCCCCGTGCTTCGTGTTGGGCCTATTCAGAGCAACCATGGGAGCCACTTCCCTGAGGCAAAACTCCTTTCCTTTACCCCTCTCTATCTGTTAGTGCACAGGGAACTATGGAGTTTCTGTAGTGCAGAAAGCCTTATGGGATCTCCATCCAGCAATGAATTTCACTTAGGGTGACCAGATGTCCTGATTTTTATAGGGACAGTCCTAATTTTTGGGGCTTTTTCTTATATAGGCTCCTATTACCCCCCCCCCGCGTCCCCATTTTTCACACTTGCTATCTGGTCACTCTAATTTCACTCAAGAAGCTGTTTCCACTGTAACACCAGTTGAGACCCTCTCATACGTCTCTGTGATTATTCTGTACACAATCAAACAAGCACAGACTTTTTATACCAAATAAAACTGGGTGCATCAAGAATATTTACCTCACTAACTTAAAATACCCCAAAGTTAAAATCAAAGGAAATACCAATCTTACTGGAAGATAGGAACAAAGGTAGCATGATGTTAAACTTGCAGAGCTTGCCATTGTTAACCGTGATCTAAATTGTCACAGCTACTTCAGTGGGTCGCCTTTTTAGCTGTAGAAGTGCAGATCTACCGTCTTCTATACAAGGAAGGTGGTGTGGGCTTAATGGTTACAGCAAAACCATTTATTTTCCTAGGAAAGATGAGCTCCCAAAAAGTACATGACAGGGGGGAATGGGGCTGTATTGGGTTTGACTTCATCATGTCACATGACCTTCTTGGGCTCGAGGTCACATAGCCAATTGGAGCAGAATTGGGATTTGTCAGGCTCTTAGGCCTTTTGACTTATTGGACAACACTTATCTTCATGGCAAAAAGTTGCATTATAAATATAGGGTCATTTCTTAATGTACCACTTTCCTTAACAGTGGGGTAATGTACATGCATTGAAGGAAGAAGGGCGGGTATAGCTGGAGAAACGTACTTAATTAAATGAATTATTTTTGTCATTTTTGTAGCTGGCAGAGGTAGAATATTGTATGGGAGAAATCTATTTTCATAATCAGTGTGTATAAATTCTATTTAAACTTTCACTGATAGTCACTTGAATACTCACAGCAGAAGGCATTGTTCACTTGCAAACACGTTTAAGGTACATCTTTTGCTGTGACAAGACTGCAGGAATAGCCAAAAATGGCATGTTCTGAAAATGCAGGTTCTAGTCTAATGTAAACTGGCTGCATCAATAAATAGTATAAAATGTTTATACGGAGTCTTGTTTTTTAATTGAGTAAAGTTGTGAAAATAAGCTGGAAAAAGTCTTACTTGCAAGTGAAAGGCAAATTAGGTTTTGTACTAAAAGCATTAATGACCAGACCTTGAAAAATGCGGCGCAGACTTTCAAGAGCGCTCAGCTCCCTTTTAGGCATTGTAACTGGGGGCCAGGGTTTTTCAGGACTTGGCCCCTGGATCACTATAGGAACTGGTAGGTCCTGAACACTTTTGAAAATCTGGCTCCAATTGTGTTGGCAGGGCACTTGGAAATCTGGCCCTGTGTGTCTGCAAAGCCTATCTGTTATTGATTTGAGGAAAGGGTTTGAATTCTATAACACAAGAAATAAACAAAAACTGTGCAAGTCCTTTCCTATGTTATATAACTTACCCCTAGGTATTATTTTGCTTAATAAACCATTTTAACAGCTTGATTAGTTGTATCAGCAGGAGTCATGTGTTAGCCCTTCCTGCTGAGATGTTACATTAGGACAGAAAATTGCTTTTCCCAAAGTAACTAAATCCTCCTTAAAATACTTTAATCTTTATCAAATTATTTTTTAATCCATTAATCAGAAAGGGGCTAGGAGGACTGTGAATGGGCTACTAAACAGGATGGAGTGGGTATTTCACTACTTACATCAAAATGGAATGCATGGGAGCAAACAGCTGGATAAAAATTCAGATTTCTGCAGCTAAGTTTGAGTTTCACCCCTCTTTATAGGCGTCTATCAGCATATTTATAGTCTGCAATGCCTTTCACCTCCAAAAGGTGTAAGGGTCACTGCTTAAAGACACCAATATTGTTTGTTATTACATAGTACCTGGGAGCCCCAAGTTATGGACTAGCACCCCATAGTGGTAAGTGTTGTGGAAACACAGAACAAAAAGACGGCCCAGGCCCCAATCTATGTAATATAGTTGTCTACTGAATCATCTAAATGATACTTTGAACTTTAGAGAACCAAGAATCTCAAAGCACTTAAAAATATTGACCACATTTTCAAAAGGGGCAGATTTTCAAAGTATCTCCGCCCCCAGGGGGCACTCAATGTACTGAGCACTTTTGCAAATCTGGCTGCTTGTTTGGGTGCCTAAATGGAAGCTGAGCACTTTGTAAAATGTGGCCCCTGAGGTCTGATGTACAGAGATGCTTGGCCTTTAACAAACTGAATTCCTTGTACATTTAAACTGTTGCATCTCAACAACTCCAAACTTACCCAGGATGTACTTTCTATTTAAAATAATTAAGAGCCATTGAAAAGAAAAATGAGGATTTTTCCCTAGGGAACCTCTGATTTATGGCTTCTTAAAATAAAGACTGTTTATGGCTCTTAGTGACAACACTCAGCTGAATTTAATAGCTACACCTGGGGTGTTTCAATTATGTGCTTCACTTCTGGTACGCTATAGCAAGTTGTAAGAACAAAATTGCAGTCCACATGAGACAATTAAATTGTCACCTGCAGGGAAAGCATCAGTATTAGGAAGGTTGGGAAGATACGTGTATATAAAAAGCAAGCTGGCAGGTACAACATGTAGGATATATTCCGAAGAAGCAGAGTTGGGATTATTCATTCAGCAGCGCCTCTCATCAAGCAGGTAATGTACTTGAACCAGACCATGCATTAAATTTTGGATGCTCAGTGTCCCAAGCTACTTGACTAGGAAAGACTGCAGAGCATTTTTCAAGGACTGAGGTACTAGAACAGAAACTGATTAAATCAAATGGATCAGTTGTGGGCCTGCACCAAAACCCTGGGATCTGAATGCTCCCGAAACTCTGGGGAGGTGTTCAAATTTTGCAGGTGGGCTAACCCTAAATCCTGGAGTTAAACACATCCAGCCTTTTTAGAAATAGCTTGAGCTACAGCTGGATTTCCCGTGCAGCGGGCCAGAATTTAAGATGCATTCCAGAAATACAAACACTGTCATGATTTTGTAGTAACAGAATTGAGCATAACCTGAATGTAATAAACTGATTATTGAATAATCGGGTGTGGGGTGCGTGGGGGATTTGTGATCAATGGATTCTCAGCAGCTTTTTGCAAGTATAGGTGCAATTTGTCTTTTTATGGAGTACCCACCATCTTTGTTCAGTCCCTGTACTATTTTTGCATTCATGTTTTGCTTTCTGGTAGAATGGAGAAGACCAGGAAGCTCTTTGTAAGGTTCCTCATGTTTATTCTGTCTGTGGAGATTTGCTTGGCTCAACACTGGTCTTATGGCCTGCAACCGGGAGGAAAGCGGGATGCTGAAAATCTGGTAGAATCATTCCAAGAGGTAGGTTCTTGGTTTTAAAATGACACTTTATTCATTGTACCTTTCCCCACATGCCCTCCGGGGGATGCGAGCAGAATAGCAGCCTTAGAATCTAAAGGTGTGTCTACACTGCAGTTAATCAACCACTGATTCTCATTAGCTGAAGGGCTGTGGGGATATACAACTGCAGTATAGACACCTGAGCCCAGCTGTCTACATTGCAGTTCTATAGCCCTGCAGCCTGAGCTGGATCTAGCTCATGCTGGCCAGCTGTGGGTGGATAATTGCAGTGCAGACATCCTTTAGGTGACATGGGACATCTAATGAATTTTCAAAACTTTTTGGAAAATTTTAAAAATTTCATTGTAGTGAAAGAGGCCAGCTTGTCAGCCCTGGAAACGCAATTCTAGCCATAGAAGAGAGACAGTTGCAGTTTCCCCTACCTGTGTAAGAACTGCTGTGCATTTTATTTTAAAATCTGAGCATCTCATGTTTGACGGGAGGGATCTCTAAGAATGAGAGGGAAATATGGTTTCCAGTTTCAGCCAGTCAATAACTTCTCTGCTATATTGTCAGCTAAGGTTCCAATCAGCTATTTTGTTATGGCAACACTCACTCCACTTGAGCTCAGGGAGGACAAGGAACAGCTGCCCTCTGGTAATTGGTCACTGTAGCAAAGCGAAGACTCACCAGTGCAGCGCCTCCTGCTGGTTGTCTGGAAATTAGCTCTTTTCCAGTGTATAGAGTGCCCTCTGCAGGCCAGTATCTCACCTACCGCTGGCCCCATGTCCCTCCCCGTGCCCCTTTACCTCAGGGTTCTGCCCCCAGCAGTAACCCACAGTCTGGGTCTCCCCTCCCAGGGGAACCCCCAACCCTCTAGCCCCACCTTGCCTCAGTGGCTACTGACAGTCATCCTCCTCTAGCCCCCGCTCACTGGGGCAGACTGCAGTCCGTCATGGCCGCTCATCATTGGCAAGGAGGTCAGACCAGCTGCCTCTGCCTATCTCTGGGCTGCACCTCCCAGCCCCAGTACCTGCATAGGCCTTTACCAAGGCCTCAGCCAGTTGCCAGACTGGAACTCCCCAGCTCTGTCCAGGTACCCTTTTCTCCCCGGCAGCTAGGTCTTTCTCTCTCCACAGCTAGAGAGAGACTGATCCAGTTCCTCCCTGAGCCCTTCTAACAGGGTCAGGCATGGCCCCAGCTGTGGCTGTTTCCCAATCAGCCTAGCCTTTTCTCTCAGGAGAGGGTAACTGCCCCTCTACTGTCATATGTTGATTGGATTGGATTCAAACTAGTAACCAGAGCTGAAAGCCTCTGTCCACCATTTCCATTTGTCGGAGTCTTCTAACCTCTCTGATTCATCTCTACTTTCATGAGCATTTCTGAAATTTACTGTAACAAAAGTGGGATAACACTGGTTCTATGCAGGGGGAGGGAGAATGGAGAACTTGTGAAGTAGAAAAGCATGTCCATCTAGCATAGTAGAGTGGTCCTCTAGCAGAAGATTCTCTTTCCATGAGATTTGTATCCTCTTCCAATTCAGATTGCTAGTGAAATGGAAAAAATAGGTGAAATGCAGCATTTTGAATGCACTGGCCCACATCAGCGCTCCATGCTCAGTGGTCTGAAGGGAGCTCTGGTAAGTAAAGTTTTGATTTATTGTGATGGAAACTCAAAGGACCACTTTTTGGGGGGTGTTGGTGCTTAGCAATGCTGGTTCTGCCTCTGCACCAAATGAAAAAATAAAATCAAAGTCAGATAAATTTTACCTTCATCCTAATTCTATGCAGCATTCACAGTTTGTTAATCCCACAGAATAACTCTGCCAGCCGAAGGATCAGGCCATATGGATGCTGCTCCCCCTAGTGTGCCCTGACTGTGGAGTTTCTATTCCGGTACAACCTCCAAAGCAAAAATAGCAGAACCTTAACGAACAGACCAGCAGAGCCCCCACAGGCAAGTGCAGAGAAGTCTAGTGTCCAACCTAGAATTTTGGGCAAAGGTTTTCAGACATGACCAGGGGGTTTAGGTGCCTCCATTTTCATGTGTCCAACCGCACTTTAAATGAGACAGATGCTCAGCACCGTCTGAAAATCAGACCATTTTGCGATGTTTCAGGGCAGGCACCTAAATACTGAGGCATCCAAAATCACTAGTCCTGTTTGAAAAGCTTGGCTTTCCTATTTACCCACTGCTAAGTCTCACCTTCAACCGACTAAACAAAAGCAAACCTCGGCTAGGAGACAGCTCCGGAAAGTTGCAGTACTCAGAGGTTTGCAGAACATATGGGCCAAACTCTGACAATGCAGATGTGTACATAAGTATGCTTTGACTTCAAATGCAAACTGTACATTCAAATTACTTTAATTGTGAACTCTTTGGGGCAGGGGTTTTGTACAGCACCTTGGGGTCCTGGCCCATGGCTGGGCCTCCTAGTCTCTACTCCGATATGAATAATAATTTCTGAAAGTATTAACACAATGATCTTTCTCCTATGAAAACCTTTATCGGGGAAGTGGAAAGAGCAGGCAGTGAGTCATTTGAATGCTTCTTACCCATGTAGGAGGAAGTCCTTTCCTTTCTTTCTCATAGCTAAAGGCTCACTAATTGGATTTTCAGGTTTGCCAATCTCCAATTACTTTCAAAATATATTTGCATTGTTACATGATATGATGAAAGAAGAGTTTAATGCAGAAGCTTAAGAATTTATGCCTTGGGTAATAACTGCTATGTATCTGCTTCTCCTGTAGTCATACATGCTGTGGCCCGTGTACCACCAATTATCCACAGCCCACTTGCTACGGGCTGCAGTGAGCTGGCTGGTCATTTGTTGCTGGCTCCTCATTTCCAGCTGCTGAATGATACTGAAAATACGTTCAATCTTTTCCCTATATAACTTTTCCATATAACCGATTGTTGTAGTTGCTACAGGGATGTTATGCAACCAACCTGTGGAAAACAAGGTGATCCACACAAAAATGAATGTGTCCAGAGGGGGGAGGCTTTCAGGGAGGCTAATCTCAATGGTTTCCCAGAGGAAATACATCTATAGGCTGAAGGGTAGAGCAATCTCTTTGCCAGAGGTCCCCAAAGTATGGGGAGAGGGTACGGATAGGGGTAAGTGGGGGATGCAAGATAAAAAGTTTGCGGACCACTGCTCTGAGATTAAATAGCTGATCTCTGAGGTGGTCAATTAGTTGCATTGATACCAGAATTTATCCTCTAGACCCTACATTTACAGAACAGAGTGAGACGGAAGGATAGGCCAGTGGTTCGTGGGTTAGCATGAGAATCAGAATGGGATTCAACTCCATGCTCTGCCACAGACTTCCTATGTGAGCTTTGGCGAGCCACTTAGGTGCCTAAATTCCTTTAAAATCTGGCTCTATGGAAGCAGCCAGGCACCTAGTGGGATTTTCTATGGGAATTAGACATGTAGGCTCTTTTGAAAATCCCACTACGCACCTATATACCTTTAAAAATCTGGGGCTTAGTGTCTCTGTAAAATGGGGATAACCACATTTTCCTACCTCACAGGGGAGTTGAGAATAAATACCTTAAAGATTGTGAGGTGCTTGCATACCATAGTAATGAGAGCCCTATAAAGTACTTACCTATTATAGTTGGGAGAAAGACAGTATATTTCCCTAGACTAGATCAATAGAATATCAGGCTACAAGAACAATAGATGTGGCAAGGTACGTCAGTACCTGAATGGCAGACTAGATACTGCAGGAAATGGTGCTGTGATAGTCCTGAGATATGCCATAGCAGAAAGTAAGATGTTAGCTCTGGTATTCTGGTCAAAGGCTACATTTGTATAGGGACACTTAACATATTGATACTTCAAATGACTACATTTCCTCACTACTTGTCCTAAACTGTTGTTGCTATTCATTGTTCAACAGTCACTGTGTTGCACTCCAGAAACAGCTGCATTTCAGGGGCGGGCAAACTGCTAGATTAGTGGTTCTCAAACTTTTGTACTGGTGACCCCTTTCACATTGCACTCAGAGGCTTGCTAACCCCCCCCCCCTAAATTAAAACACTTAATATATTTAACACCCTTATAAATGCTGGAAGCAAAGCAGGGTTTGGGGTGGAGGCTGACAGCTTGCGACCCCAAAGGGTCCTGACCCCCAGTTTGAGAATCCCTGTGTTAGATGGAGGAGTGGGACGAAAGGAACTATTATAAATGTAAGTAAGTTATGGTGTACTGCACTAGCACCTACATAAGCGGGTGGCAGAGATCCGCTTAGTTCAGATTTATGCAGGTCTAGCCCTCTTCCTGATGGAGACCCTCCATGCAGAATATTTTAGTATTTCACCTGGCCTTAAAATTCCAAACCAAGTAATTTTTCCTCTTTAAAAAAAAAATCAATCATACAATGTGTGTTACAGGCAAGTCTGATTGAAGGAGACGCAGGGCGAAAGAAGATCTGAATTCATGAAGGCAAATGGAACAAAGGATCCGTTACTGTAACATTTCAAAGCAATGATTTAGCTCTAATGTCTGACCTCTGTTTGGATAACAGTGTCATGTGCATAAATGTTCAAATACAAAAACCATATACAGATGTTGGAAATATTTTTTTGGGTAGAGTATTAGCTCTGGCATAAGATAAATGACTGCTTGGGGCAATGCACCGGGATTCAAGAGACTTGGGTTCTACTTGCCACTGATCTGCTGTGTGACTTTTCACGGGTACAAACACTGTCTAGCAAAATGGGCCCGTAATGTTTGTTGGGGCCTCTGGACGTTAGTCTAATATATGTAAGTTAGTTACTATTAAACAACACACAATTTCACTTGCATTTCAATAGTCCATGCATGGAAGACATTTAGGGTGTTTTTTCCTGGTTTACTCAATCTACATTTATTTAAAAAAATATTTACAAACTTTACAACAGTAAACACGCTGTTTTCAAAACACATACATTTGTACAGCTGGCTTTACAGTCTCAGTAAATAATATGCTATTTAGTCACAGGTGCAGAATCCCTTTTCCAAAGCTTGGCTCTGGCCCTTTCTTCAGAACCAGTTTAGAAGCTGTATGTATGGGTGAGTCGGCTGCAGGGGGCTATGAAGCTACTTCCAGCCCACAGTGGTTTTAAAAACTTAAATAATCAAGTCAAGTACCTCCAAGGAATGAAAGCGGTCATGTTAGGAAGGAAGCTATGCCACAACATAAAAGTAAGTTTCCCCAGCATTCAAGAGGAACATATCCCCTACTGATGGTATTAAATTGTCATAATACCAACATTATCAATTAACACATACAGGAAGATAGATTAAGCCAATATTATCTGTACACGTTAACAGTATGTGGCATTATGATCTTTTGGGATGGGATTTTCCAAAGCCCGCAGTGCTGGCCTAACTCAGTTCTCATTAGGATGTTATATTCTGTAATAGGAGAGTTTACATAGACAGTGGAAGCCAGTGGGACTTCATAGAAGCTGAGGGCAAGTCTACACTACAAACGGTGCAGCTACGCCTCGGTAGCACTGTGAAGATGTTCTAAGCCAACAGGAGCGAGAGCTCACGCATCAGCTTAGTTACTCCACCTCTGCCAGCCGTGGTAGCTATGTTGGCAGGAGAAACACTCCTACTGACACAGTGCTGTCTATACGGCCGGTATAACTTCATCGCTCAGGGATGTGGATTTTTCACACCCCTGAGCGACGTAGTTACACTGAAGTGTGTAGAGTAGACCTGGCCCGAGTTAGGTCAACACTGGGTGTGTGCTTTTGAAAGTCACTCCCTTTAATGTCAGGAGATCTGTTCGGCCATGTTACTCAGGTGTTTTCAGGTTCCCCTGGAATCTTAGAGGGAGGTTCTTGCTGGGCAATTACAGAGTTTGGTCTACAGCTGTTGCTGGAAATGAAAACAGTGATATATATGATAGAGCAGCTTTTAACAAACAGCTGGGATTGAAAAAGGGAACCAGCAATATTCAGGAATGTTTTCACTACCAAAAAATAAAAATACAGTTAAATTACAGACATATCAGTCTTTTTAATATTTCCATTTACAATTATAAAAATAAATAAGGACAGTAAATCTGGAGCAATGAATCCTACATTATCACTACAAGTCTAACTCATGGTTCATTTGTGGAAGGTATGCTGGCAGGCACAAGTAGGGAAGTTTATTAGATGCAAATTTTCAACAAGTCCTTGATAGGCACGGCTGCCTTGTCTGCCACTGCTGCTCCCAGAACAGTTTTCACTTGAGTCAACCTCCTTTCCTAATCTAATAATCCACTGAACGGGAAAACTGCCCATTTCTCCCCCAGACATGGATAAGAACCTGTAATACTTTAAATCAAATTTATCCTGGCATTACAAATTTTAAATTAAAAGCACTCAAAAAGCAAAGGTTGCGCAAATTTCTCAGTGGAAAAAATGTGACTAGACTAGCAGATTCCAAGGCCAGAAGGGAACATTGTGATCATCTAGTCAGCACTCCTGTATAATGCAGGCCAGGGAACTTCCCTAAAATAAGTTCTGTCCGAACTAAAGTAGATCTTTTAAGAAAGCCTCTAATCATGATTTAAAAGGTTCTGGGAACTGAAACATAACACTCGTTTTGAAGAGCGTAGCTAGGATGTGGAATTACCTAAATATTTTTTCAGTGCAGACTGGATTTTTGGTTTCCAGGTTTGTTTGTTTTTAAATGGTAATGGTCAGCACAGAAGTAAGCTTTCATTTCTGCCATGGACTGATTACATCATGGTGGGGCTTGTCCTTGGGAGAGACTGGGTAAAATTTTCAAAAGTGTTCCAAGAATTTAAAAGCCAAATTCCCATTTTCAAAATGGATTTAGGTGCTTAAGTCCCATTTACTTTCAATGACTTTGGTTTCTGAGGGCCCGATTTTCAAAGCTATTAAGGAGCCTAGTGATACAGATAGGTATCTAGTGGGATTGTCAGAAGTGCCAAGGTACTTAGCTCCCATAGATTTAATCCTTAGATGCCTAAATACCTTTAAAAATCTGGCAGTTAAGGACCTATGTCTCTTCCGAATAGGGTGACCAGACAGCAAAGGTGAAAAATCAGGACAGGGTAATAGGAGCCTATATAAGAAAAAGACCCAAAAATCGGGATCGTCCCTATAAAATCGGGACATCTGGTCACCCTACTTCTGAAAATGGGAACAAGGCTCCTAAATCACTTTGATACTTGAAAATTTTGCTACTTGTCTTCAATAGAGACAATCTGATTTATACCAGTTGAGGATCTGACCCCTTGAGCACTGCACTCCAGTCAGCAATACACTTCTAAGGAAACAAACTTCCATTCATGAGCATGTTTTCCACCCAATGAAAAGAAAGGGGGTAGGAGAGGCTAACCCAAGTTAGAGACCGATTGAAGACATAGCAAATAAAAACTCCCCCAAGTATAGGCGAGAGTTTAAAGATGAAGGTAACACACAGGACCTCTCAAATCCTCTACATCCTCCTTATGCGACAGCTGCCCTATCCCCCCTCCTGTAGAAGTGAGGTCTAAACTAGAACAATCTCAAACTGGCCGGACGATAAGCCAGCAAGAAGAAAAGCCTGAATTGTGCAGCCAGCTCATCAAGGCAAACTGTGAGGAAGTTGTCAGGCAAGTTGGTGCCGGGGAGCAACCTGCTTAAGAGCTCAACCCCTAATGAAGGCCAAGAATTAAAATGTGGCTTGTATCAGCCACAGCTCCACACACACACACAAAAAAGCGCGCCTGGGGCTTCTTGAAGTTCAGAGGCAATCGACAGAGCTTCCTACAGCTCTCCTATCTGTGTTAGTCTTAGGTGATTAGTTTAGCTGCTTGGTAACTCAGGTGTTAGTACTGTTGAGTTACAAGCAGGAGGGAAAGTAACTGCTGATAATCCTAACTGCTAGCAGCTATCTCTGGATGGCAGAGAGAGCGTTTTAACCCCTTATATATCAGGTACTTTGTCCATCAATCCTCTCTGTAACAAGGCTGAAAAATGGGAAAGAACAGGAATTTAAAACACAGGTGGAAGGAGGAAATGTCAGGATGTTGCTAAAGATCAGATTTGGACCCAAAATTCGGGGGTGTCTGGATTGAGGTTTTGAGTTTGGTTCATTCTAGAGTTAAGGCTGCAATGTTCTTTCCAAATTTCAGGGTTGTTCAAATCTGGGCTTTCTGATCAGGCCCATTTCTCCTTTTACATATAGTTGGCAAGCACACAAAATATACCAGCGAGTAAAGGTTAATGGAGTAGATCAAAACAGAGAGAAATAAAACTAGAGATAAGCCAGACTACTGCAATATCCCTGCCTAGCTCTCTTACTCATGGTGGAAAAAGCCACTAGCTGTAGTTCTTGCAAACATTCATGCTTTCCGCCTGATATTAAGAGCGAGAGGAAATTTACCATTGCATCCATTTCGTGCTCGGAATATTCCCTCTTTTGCAAGGAAATTAAGTAAGTACGTGGCTGATACTGACTGATTGGTGAAGGATTGGAAAACTGACTGAATTAATACGAAGTGAAATATGCACACACACTATTCACTTGTACCAGACCCTACACTCCTCACTCAGACAAAATTCTCATGGACTCAGTGAGAGTTTTGAGTAAGGATTTCAGGATTGTGTGCGTGTGTGTATCCGGGATGGCAGGAAAAGGTGGGTACAAAAAAAGAAAACCCTGAGGTTTTCAAGTCAAGCAATATCTATGTCCAGGAATGTAATGTGGAACTGACAATCTCTATGATGCTCTGGGGATTGGATGCGGAGGTGGAATATGGTCAAGATGTTCAAAAAGGTTTTCAAAGCTTTCCCTGGAGAAGGCAGCTGCCCAAAAGACAGTTGTGTGTGCACTACAGCGAACACAGCTTTAGGCATATGTGATGTGACTGCAGTGTGACTTCTAAAATGTCTCCAACTTATTTTGTGATGTGAATCTGATAGGAGCCTTTAATGAATGCAATCTGTTTATGGAGCCATACGGGCAGCACAGTGAATGCAGCTTCTGCATGTTTCTATTTTCATCCAAACAGACACCAAAGAAACATATTACAAAAGATTGGATTGTTCCAGTCTGAATAAAAATAATTACAATAAGATTGCTATACTATTGGACAGTGCTTTATTAGGCTTAAAGGCCTTTTGTTTTTCAATGAGGTAATGAAACTAGTTTGTATAGCAATAGCAGGAGAAATTATGTTGGAATGGCCTATGTTTAAAATATGATAAATGTTTTGAATATTGCAGGCCACATCCTCAGCAGTGTTTTCAGTGGCTCTACATGATTTAAAACCACCTGAGGATCTGGCCTTCTAATTAGAGAGGGTCCTGAACCAAAGCTCTGCTCCACTTGCAAAGTTTGGATCCAAATCTGAATTGCCACCATGTTTGCAGGTGGATCCACTGCTAGGACAGGGCTGAACCAAAATCATCACTAGAGGCATAAGGATTCAGCAATCAGAACTTAGCAGAAAGGTTTTTGATTCAGTCACACAGGGTATGGTTTACATTGCAATAAAGACTCAGGTCATAGCTGCATCAGCTGACTTGGGCTCACAGAGCTTGAGCTGTGGGGCTATACAATTGCAGTGTAGATGACTGGGCTCGATCTGGAGTCCAGGCTTTGAGGCCCCACAACCGGGAGGACCTCAAAGTCTGGGCTCGGGCTAGTGCCCCAGCCCAACCACCTGCACTGATATTTTTAGTCCTGCAGCTCAAGCCCTGGGAGGTCAAGTCAACTGACCCGGGTTCTGAGTCTGGGTGCCACGGACTTTTTACTGCAGTGTAGACATACCTTAAGATACTTTGGTGATGATCATAATATACAAACCTAGACAGAGAAAGGGAATGCAGAATATAGGCCACCTAGTTCTTTCATTTGTTTTGCAGGGCTAAAAAGAACAAATTGACCTCACCTATTCAGATCATCATGTGACCAGAAAACTATGGGTGATGAAAATGAGCAGGGTCCTGGAGGGATTGATTTATGAAACAAGATTACAAGAGTTATGATAATGACCTACCTATTTGGACTAAGGGCCTGATCCAAAGCCCGCTAAATTCAATGGAAAGATGCACATTGACTCCAGCAGTCTCTGGATCACGCCCTAAGGGAGGGACCGCAAAACTGGTCTACATGCTTTTGAAGGATGTTAACACCAAGCAGAGAAAGGAATTATTTAGGGTGGCAAGTGGCGGTATAAATAGGAGTCATGGGATGAAGTTATAGAAGGGAAAATTTAGATTGACTATCAGGCAGTGTAAACTTATTAAACAGAATGCTGCTGCCACACACTGAAAACAACGGAAGAAAGGAATAAGTAATTAAGAGAGAAGAATTAGAACTGATTCTATAAAATATCCCTAAACAGCATAATTGTCATATTCACCAAACACAGCCCATCAGGAACTGGAGCAACCCAAGAAACCAGAAACTTCATGGTGTACTGCCCAGTCTTTCATGTCCCTCTCAGACCTAGGTGTGACTCATTTGAATTTAGTGATTGTTAAAAGTTAGGCCAAGTGTTTTGTGTGCAGAACACAATGGAAGCTCCCAGACAAAAGGCACAGGACAAAAGGCACAAGAAGAGTTGCAACAACAGGGTGCAGTAAGAGGGGGTGTGCTTGTGAGTGCGTGGATTGGAAGGCCAAGAGTTCAACTGGGATTTGAAAGGCTAATGGTTATTGAACTTGGTTTATGAGATTCAGATGTACATCTATACTGCGATAAAAACCAAGTCTCAGGGCCTAGGTCAACTAGGGTGACCAAACGTCTTGATATTAGGGACTTTGTCTTATGTACACAACTAACCCCCTGCCACGTGGAAAAAAAAGTTTCCTGATTTTTCACACTTGCTAAGGTCAACAGTGTAGATGCTTGGGAGCCCAGGCTCCGAAACCCTCCCGCCTTGTGGGGTCCCGGAGCCCAGGCTCCAGCACCAGCCTGAAC